AATTGCTCAGTAATTATTTGTTTGTTCTTACAGTTGATCAGTCTGAGACCTTCTTCGAAACAACATGCAAAACCTAGACCTACGGCACGAAGGGAAAAAGAGAATCCGACTGGACTCGTCACGAAACTGGGAGGTACCATTGTAAAGGACGGCTTAACCACTGTTCACGAAACGAGCGTAATTGGTACCTACATAAATGGCAAATACGCTCAAGTACTCCAAAGCTCTTCCAGGATTCTTCAGAGTCCACCTGAACCGAAGATTCCTGAAGGCAAAATTCGTCCATCTAGCACACAACGAATCTTAAAAACTATTGGACCGCAGCAAGGAAAGTTGAAACCGCAATTGGAACCCACACCGACCCATCAACAAGAAGAATCGTCATTACCCCTAGAAGTCCTGTTTAGTGCGCCAGCTGGTAAAACGAAGAACTAGATTTAATTAATTTACGAAGAGATTCAGATTTTCTTCAATGTTACCTGACGTAACCATAAAGAATTAAACACGTAAAATGGCACTTTAAGAAAGCCACATTTGAAATAGCAATTTATTAATTACTGTAACGATAAAATAGTTGTTTAAACGTTCTTTAAATGATCTATCATAGAACCGAATTGTGAATGGAATTTTTTTATAGCTATATTTAACTAAATTATTATATGCACTAAAATAATGCTTACTGAATCATCGCAATTCAATGAATAATTTACAAAATTTAGAAGAAACGAATTTCGAACTTATATTTTTGTATTGCAACTATATAATTTGACCTTAATGTGGTATTAAAAATTTTAGACATATATAACCGCACGACTGGTAAGCAAAATATAAAATTATGAACATTGTATTTCCTTCATTTGCATAATTTTATTTCATTGTTCTTAGGTTCCACAATTCGAAGTACGCGGAAGAATAATGGGCCCAATTCAGCACGTCCAAAATTTCGTAACAAAATCAATGAAGATTACGATAGCGGAGAAGTGCAACAAAATAAGCCACCTAAAAATCGAATCAGCACTACAGCAAGACCTGGCTATAAGTAAGTATCTTGCCAATTCCGGTTCAACCAACTGATCTAACATACAAAAAACTCTTTTTAAACGTATTACTTTATCCGGCAGAAACCGAAGCCCGCCCACAACGACGACCGAACCACCTGTTACACGACGCCGTACTGGCTTTAGGCCAAGCAACCAGCCGAATTTGCCATCAAAGCAGATCCCAAAAAACAAAATCGAGCAGCAACCAACCAATTCTAATCCTGCGCCGAAACTAAAGTTACCGAGAACGCAAGGGCGATGGTCGTACAAAACAACTCCTAAGCCAAGGGTGATCATTCGGAAACAAATAGATGATGACGAGTTGCGTTCCACACCTGAAACTGGCACCACGGAGGGTCCAGTGAACGTCGATGACAGCAAAACCACTGCGGCTTCCATTTCCACGTCTACGACAACAACATCGTCCACAACAGGCCAGGCAATTGCCGCGCAAAGGAAAATCCAGGAGCTTTCCAGTGACGAAGAATTAGACCCAAGCGAAAGCGAAGATGCACCCAGCGTTAGTGTCAGCCAAGATCAACAACATTCCGATCAAATATTGCCTGTAGAAACGCTCAATGTTGAGATCTCTACTGCGGCCGACAACGGTGATGCGTATTTTGAAATCGCTACTATTAAATCGCCGTACACTTTCCAGGTAATAATTTCGTATGAAAATATTATTAATAAGTGTTTATCATTCGAATATATTTTTATTCACAGAAATCTTCTCTTTGCTCTACTGGACTACTTTGGGTAATAAGACCTTCTAATTTTCTTAACTTTCGTTCTTTGTGTTTACAGGTTGGAACCTTGAGGAATACTCGTTACATAACCGTCACTTCGACGTTAAAGAAGTCATTTTCGACGGCAGAACCAACCAGCACGATATCGCCCACTGAACCCCTAACTGAAAATCTCTTAGCAAATACCGCAGCAGCTTATGAAACAACGTTACCATTAGACTCGGCTGTAGCCACCCTCCCAGCCATATCTCTGGAATCTGGCCAGGCGACTCCTCCGTTGGAAACATTGACGGAGACGTTCTCGACTACGCAGACCTTGTTAAAGACCCACTTATTACCAGTGATATACGGCGGTAACACAACAAAATTGACGTTAGTACAAACATACAACGTTGCACGAGTGGTCACTGCCACGAAGACCCTACCACCAATGGACATATACCAGTTCATACCCAGCAAAGCACTGAACGAATTTAACTCGAAACTCGACGAAGCGGGCAGCGAGCTGCACTTAGAATTAGATGTCGGGGACGACGACAGGGATGACGATGATATCCCTAAAAGAGTGGTAGCGCCGAACAACGACATGGACTCGGATCTGGAACCTTTCAAATCTATATCATCCTCGAAAGTGAAGTCGGATACATCGAGCAGCAGCTCCATCGAGTCCCAATTGACTCCCGATCAACTGGCGCTGTTGAAATACTTCGGTCAACAACAGCAACAACAACAGCAGCAAGTGATTACCACCTCGCGACCAATCGTCGTACTGGAGACGCTATACGAGTCTCATGTAATTCCAGTGGTGAACAACGGAAACACTTTGTACTCGACGATATCCAGGCCAGTCGGCACCGTGCCACGGACATCTTACGAATACGGAACGTCCACAGTTGCACCAGTTCTGCCACCTCAATTACCGCCGCAGCTGCCGCCGCAATTACCTCTATTCCCACAACAGCCACAGTTCACGGTGACGAGTGCACCCGTGGTCACACAAACGCTGGCAACCGTTTCCAATTCGAAAGTACTGAAGCTGACCTTTGGAGCCAAGACGGCCTACACGACACTATTTTCCAGCCGAGTAGTGCCAACTGAGGTCACAACCTATGTTACGACCACCGTGCCCGTGCAACCTTCCGTCCCTGCTTTCCCAGGCTACTATCCTCCGCCCGTCGCCTATCCACCTTTTCCTTTTGTAGGATAAGGTCTTCGAACTTTGCGCTGGCCGCGGCGAAGGATAAGTTACTCACGCATCGATGACTGGGGAATGTTTTGTTTCACGTAGACTGTTCCGAAAGTTTCGAAGATAGAAGTTTCAAACAAAGAATATATATACTTGTAATAGATTTATGACATCGTGATAAATCATCAAATATCATATTGGCAATGACTATTAACACTAGAACTACCGAACGTTTAATATGATTGATATGTAATCTTTATAAAAATTGCAACAACAGATTTTTTCGCGGTTTTCGTGTATTCATTATAGCATTCGAGTGGAACTATTATATTTTTAAAATTTTTTCGGATATTCATCACTCTTAAAATATCAATAATTGAGAAATAAGAAAACTGAAACCCATCATTTTGATAGGTGTGATAGTTCTAGCGTTAATTTTAATTAACTTTTGATTAATTTATCTTATATTTTCATTAAACTATGATCTACATTCAAAAATTATTTCTATCGATGTACTTTAAGTATTAATATATTTTTGGTTCTTTAAATTTCTTTGCGATAGAATTTTTAGAGATACATTCTGATACAGATCTGATTTCGAAAATCATCATTGTTAGTAATTTCTTCTAATTTTCAAAACTTTTGGAACAGTGTCTGTATATACGAAATGCAAACGAAACAAACGTTTGCATCGAACGACGATAAAGTGATGATCGAGATAGATATTACACCAAAATTTACACCAGGAACAATGAGAATCATTGAATCAGAATTTCTGCAATGTTAAGTTTCAATGAGGTTCTTTGCTATCCAGAGATTCGACATATCTTAGCATAATCTTATTTAACGTATTTAAAACGTAGCACTTATTAGTTTAAGATAGAAATTAATGTTCTATAACTTTTGTAAAACAAGATGCACAGACAGACATGGAATTTGAACACAAACGTATATGACACATCCATTTTACGTCGTTTCTTCAATTGGTACGCAGAAAAGTAAGTAAGGCTATGTATTCGTGTGTCATGATATGACATGCTTTTCAATTGTTATTAAGTGTTCGTATTAAGAATTTTTAAACATAAAACATTTATGTAAGCATAATCGTATCGAGGAAGAAAAAATGAAAAAAAGTACAGCTAAGTAATCTTGAGTAAGATTATAGACACAAAGACTGATTATTTTTAAATGAAATCATAATGTCTACTATAGGTGCTGAATGAATTTAATTCTTGTGGATGATTTATTTAAAAGTAAACATTGCACATATTTTTTTGTTCAAATTGATTAAATATTTGAAACATGTCATATTATGATACACGAAAAACATGAAAATGATAATGTAAAGTATATGATTTTTTAATAAATCAATATCTATTTTGGTTTTACATTTAATATTAAAATATCAAACGTACAAAATATTTTCTTCTTAGTTTTCACGTTGAAAGAAAATAAGTTACATATTGAGATTAATGAAATTATGCGATAAATTTCCATGCTGTAACCATGCAAACGCACTTACAAAACTCGATAGTGTTAATTTCATTTTTCCATAATTCCCGTAATTTATTTCGGCGATACCTAAATAATAAGAAGCAAAAATATTGTTTTTCTGATAATGAAATTAAATTTTATCATTAGCCAGCTATTTAATCAAAATCACATCATAATGAAAAATACGACATTCTCAAATTGCTCTACAAAATTTAATATAAATCTTGTAAATAATCATTTATCATTTATTTCTTGCGTGTTTACAGAAACTTTTAAAATATTAATATTATTCTGTATTAAAAGATTAGATAACATATGTTTATTTTCATTTTACATATAATTAAAATAAGATTGTATATTTAAACTAACATTACTTAAAGAAAGACGCGATCATTCGTGATTATATTAAATTCATTTACATTTGGTAGTAAATATTTTGAATTTTCCAAAAAAATGTTATACATTGCACACCGATTACACGTAGGTATTTCAAACTGTTATAAATGATGAATAATAATATTTGCATATTTAATTTGTGTACACTACAAACAAAAATAACATCCAATATCATTCTATAAATAATTATTTTAAATTACAATTTATTATTACATGCAGTTCAACGACGATTTTAACTGGTCAACAAAAAGAATTATTGTAAATAAATTATTGATCATTATAAAGTATTGTATGTATATTAAAAATTTTGTAAATAAAGTATGTAAAAATAATAAAAATTTTCCTTTATTATAATTTTAGACCAAGTATACAAAATATAATATAAACATAGAAGTAAATACCAAGCTCAGGTTATTTAAATTGTACTTTAAGCTTCTTAGTATAACACTAAAGAAAATGCTCAAGCAGTCTGATAAAAAATGTCTGTTTAACTTACATACAAATGTGAACTAATGAAATTAGGATTCATAATTATAAAAGATAACTCACAAATGAGTTCTATGTGTTTTTACAAATTTTCCTAATTTATAATGACGAATTAGAATAAAAGTAAAAATGACAGATGTAATAGGATCTAACTCTATTTGTTCATGTGTTTTCTACGAATGTAATGTTACACTTCATGTGTGTTAAGTATTTTTAATTACAAATCTTCTGTAAAGGTGTTCAAGATACCATAATTTCTTTCTTGAAGATACTATTATAGCATATTCATGTCAAAATAAGAAATATTCATAAAGTGCTGAAGTAGACCGAGGCGAATTGGATTTTCATTTGTCAAAAACAAACATTAATAATAAAAGGTGAACGAGAATTTTTAGATTTTTCTTCTGCAAGTAATAAATAAGAAATTAGAAATATAATTTGTAATATAATAAATGTAGACTTGTTTCTTATTTCGATCCGATTCACTCTGTGACACCAATTCGCCCCGATCTACCCTGTGTACTTCTTTGAAGCTTTAATGTAATTAGAACTGAGAAAAATTGTCACGTTTTGTCAATGATTAAGACATCAATTTAATTTGACAATATTATTATATGTATGGTGATGTTAATCCTTATAAATCCAACGTATTATGTATATAAATCGCTTTTTCAGTGATTATAATAACCAAAATTAATTAAAGGCAGTGAATGAAAAGATCAAAAGGTAGTAAAAAAATATTGCAATTTTCAATTTATGTAATAAATAATGCTTCGTATGTATAGTATAGTGTTAACCAATTTCTAAAACTCACTAATGAAAATTAACGTTTGAACGTAACGGATTCCTCTTCCTTTTTAATTGCGCGAACGAGCGTCAGGCTTAGAGCAGCGATTATTACCTGCAAACGATAAACGTATTACATATATATGTATGTATATATTACATATATCTGATACACTTTTCATTTATTTAAACTCTTCACATAATCACCTTAAAAATAACAAAATTTATTAAATATAAATTGTAATCATAATTAATGAATACCAGATAGTTTTCGATTACATAGAAATTTTTGTAAATTTTCATTTCAAATATAAAGAAAAAATTTGTTAATAGTCTAACACTGAAATTACTGTATCGATATTACAAACATTGAAAAAAATTAATACCTATGTAAAACTGTACATTTTTCTTTTTCTACTATTTTAGAAATTTTGCTAATTGTTTTATTTATTGTTATATAAGAAATATCTTTCTTTATAGTTCGCAAAATAACTCGGACTTCTTTTTCAGATTTTGAACAGTGTTTTCTATCTTTTCCATCCATCTTCTTATAAATCAAAAATTTGTAAAATTATTTACATGTATAATGAAACAATTTACTGAAAATTCTATAATTCGCTAGACAGAATCCTCGTTTAAACATATTATACACATATCAAATATTTATTTTTAAGAAACGAAATCTCGAATAATGAATTTTATTTTTCATATTTTATTTGTCTTCCTTTCATTTAGAAAAGTTGAATGTATTACACTCCAAATAATAAATGACGAAATATTTTTGACTTACATGAAGCATGCACAAAGCCAATGCCAGACCGGCCAGCCATCCTGATCTACCTTCCAAAAACCAAGAAATTTCTTCAACGCAGCCGTGAAAGAAGGCGTTCCCAGTAACCGTGTCTCTACATTCATTGGGTAATGGTTTCTTTAAGATCAAATAATCCCTTGGTCCATCAGCACCACAACAGCCAATCTATTATTAAATTTCTTAATTATCTCTAGACAAATTATCTCTTATCAAAGACAGCAGTGTATCTGTTCTCTAATAACCAATACACATATTATCTTACACTTTGCTGAATTAATTGCAGAATATACGTTGCTCTGTCATCGTAGTAGTTGTTGATGAGAGCATGCATTGACTTTCTTATAAGAGGTTGAATTTGACTATCATAAGTAGAATAATCAAGAAGTATTGCTGTTCCTACCAAGCCCAAAACGTAGCAGACTAATTGTAAACCCACAAACTAAAAAAGGAATTAAACGCAATAGTTAATTGTTAATGTTCTGATATTATGTTACCTATAATACAATGTTATCTTTACTCATTTTATATTCCAAATGGGTTTCTTTATTGATTTATGTCAAATAAATTATTACAAACATTTATAAAGTTAGCGATGCATTAAATAAAGTGGTTGAATTATTTGATGATATAATATTGAAATCACTACAAGTTTCCATGTAATGTATCCTACACTGCTTTCGATTGCGCGTTTAAGTTCTCTATAGTTTCTAAAAATAACATTTTCAGTCTGAAGCAGCGTGTTGCGAGAGCGATAAAGTCGCTTTTAACGAAAAATTGTAGGAGGAACTGATAGATGTTTATACAGAAACAATATGGTATGTGCTATCATAGATCGTGCATCATTTGAAAAAATATTGAACACGAATACTGGACATTTGTAATTAAAGCACATAAGAAACGTAAAATTAATATTACTAAAAAACCTTACCCATTAGAAACTTGTAGTATCTGATAACACTGATTCGCAAAATAGCTCATATATTTTATATAATAATTTCAATTAGTTGACTTAATAATGTAATGTTTATGCCTTACGATGAAAAGGCCGAGGATATGTTCCATAAGAGCAACGCCGCAACCGATGAATGTAACGATTACGACAAATATTGAAGCGGCAAGTAGAATATAAATGCCAATGTAAAATTCATAAATATCAAGGAAATCGACCCACTCTTGGAAACCTGGATCCAGCCTCAGCCACATGCACAACCCAAACATAGAGCTCCCGAGTAGCTAGTAAAAAATGTAAATAAAATGAAATATTTTAAAGAGTTAAAGACAAATCGATTTTTTCTTAATCGATCACATTCATTTCTTTATGCAAAATTACATCTTCGACTAAAAATATACATCAACATTAAGTAAACAGAATGTTCTTCTATTCGATAGAAATTTTCTTGAATAAAGAACAAACTAGAATGTCCACGCATACATTTTATCGCATAGTTTAACTTAATATTTTTTAATTCACTAGGAGTTAAAGACTCATATTCGTCACGCTGATAAACTCTGATATGATTGGTACGCCGTGATCTGACTCATATTGATTCGTATGTAACGAAGATGTATGTATGTTGCAATAAGACTCGTTCCGATCTAAATTGCCTCGGTAGACACATTTAACTAGTATTGCGTAAACGCTAACAATAAGAATCGTTCATGGTATAAAGAGCATCTTGTTGTATACAAACTACAATGATGTTCCAATAATAAAGTTTGCGTGATAGAAAGATTTAAAGAAATTTTAAAATCATTATAAATACATCATTCATTTTCTATTCAATTCTTTTTAATATGTATTTAATTCTTCTTTTCAAGTTACTCAAATTAATGAAAAGCAAAGTCTCCTTGAAAGTGTCAACAATAATTTGTTTCATTATTCCTGTCAACGAATATTTTAGCATTTATTTTCATTTTTCCCCGTACTTACCCATATAATGGCATTTAAGCAAAAAATGGTAAATTTAATACACTGAATTCGTTGCTCCAATTGGGGCGCGGAGGATTTAGCAACCATTATTTTAAATTGTCAGTTTCAACACTTGTATACTATTAATGTGATTGCAAAACACAATTAAAAATATCTTTTTCTTTCACGTAAGAGTCACTGGATGAGATAGTATCAACGTATAAACGTGGGTACTGAGTTACGGACGTAGCTGTCGACGGATACCTGAAACTTCCACCTAGTATTCTCTTTATCGCCGACAAATATAAGATAACTGGATAAGCACGTCCTAGATAAAAAAAATCGTTGCAAGTGAATCATTCACACAACAGAAAATTATCATTGAAGAAACGACTTAAAGAGAAAATTTGCAGGCACCTGTTATAGTCATCTCAAAATCAATGTGCCGTTAAAAATGAATTTTTGTATCATCAATAACTACAGCCTATATAGGTACTTAACAAGTAGATAACAGAGTAACTACACCTTACCGAACTTAATCACAGACAGATGTATTTAACCCCAAATAAAAAAAAAATGGTGTCTTTAATCAGTAAAAAATTTTATTCTTGTTCGTATGTATACAAAAATATACATTAACTAGAATGTAACATTAACAGTTCTTACATTTACTAGAACACAAATAATGATATATTATTTATTTCCAATGATGTATTAAAAAATGATCACATGTAATAGACGATTTTACTTTCTGAGTTGATGAAAAAAATGTTAAGGCTTTAACTTCGAAGTCTCCCACAGGAAATCGAAGTATCTTTACAGATGTAAGATCTAAATATAGATTTAAGATTCCGGATGTATGTATACAGATTCTGTCGGCGTTGTCATCTCCTAGCTAGACAACGGTAGCTTAATTAAGAGTAATAATTAAGTAATCGCATACTGAGTAGTTGAATTTTATGCCTCGAATGAGTTAAATGAACAATTAATATCAGGACAATAATAAATAAACTTCGAAGTTAATAAACTAATACAAATAAATTAATATGCTTAAATTAATCAACAGAAATATATACAAATAATTTATAAACGCTCTAAAATTATACAATGAGAAAAGAGAAAACAAAGGTTTAAACGCAATTTAAATATTCAGCAGTTCTTAATCGCATAAACAAAATAATAATACTCTGTTCACTCACTATTAATTATCATTATATTCCTCAATTAAAAAGGAACCATCAATGATTAGAAAATTATCATTAACCGTATCATGAACCTTTTATAACGTAAACATCTCACGACCAGCGATGAGATTTTTAAATGATTAAAAAAAAGCATTTACAAAGAAAAAGTATAATTTGATTAATTTTGTTTTAAATGAAGAACTGTACAATAAATGTTCGTATTTATGTTAAATTTCTTTAGAAATAATAACATAGCCCAGTTATACGTGTATAGGCGGACTGATTATGTAGTGTTCGGTCAACCGACATCCTCCACAACCACGTGTAACTCGGTCATGGTGTTTGCGATATGGAGCAACGACGTTCCAGCATCAGCATCAGAAATGGTTTCTGAAACGAATATGTAGCTGAGAAGTGGGGGTGCAGCGTGAAGCAAGATATTAAGCTTTGCTGATGTGGAAGCCGACTAAACTACATGGGAGGTTCTGAAATTTCCTTCATCAACATTGTCATCGACATTTTTTAGTGTTTAGTGCCAAAAAACTCTTTGCTTACCGGTTTTCGGTAGCTACTCTTCATTCAGTTTTTGTGTGTTATGCAAGGACTCATGCTTCTCCAAATTCTGATAGGTTTTTCTGTGTTGGCGACGGCGATTCCAAAGCCGGAGAACGAACACAAATCACGAATCATCAATTCGGTTTGTCTTTGAGTTTACAATCTTAAAATTCTTTAAAAATATATATTCCAACATAAGTGTTTGTTTTCTCGTTTAATTTTTTTTTCTCTGTAACGTAATTTTTTATTTTCTACTTATAACCTCGGTTAGCATGTGTATTTTATATAATACTTTTCATAGTAATATAAAACAAAGCATAGTTTTTATGCTGTTTCCTATTTTGAGAAATGATATTTAAATTATCAATGATTCTTTACTATTAATATCACATGTCTATTTATTCATTTTTAGTTTGTATTTTTTGAAAAAAGTATTTCATTTTAGGAGCCAAGTGAGGAAGAACATTTTGTCAAATCTCAACATAATCCAGCTTATGATCATGAAGCATTTCTTGGTGAAGAAGCAAAAACGTTTGATCAACTTACTCCTGAAGAAAGCACAAGAAGATTAGGAATAATAGTTGACAAAATAGACAAGGATAAAGATGGTTATGTTACTGGAGAAGAACTTAAAGATTGGATACGTTATACCCAACAACGTTACATAAGAGATGATGTTGAAAGACAATGGAGATCTCATAATCCAGAAGGAAAAGAAAAACTTCCATGGACGGAATATATGGCAATGGTTTACGTAGATGTGGATGAACATGAATTAGAAAATCAAAAAAAATCTAATGATAATACATTTTCATATGCATCTATGCTTAAAAAGGATCGCAGACGTTGGACATCTGCAGATTTAGATGGCGATGATGCTCTTACAAAAGAAGAATTTGCTGTTTTCCTCCATGCAGAAGAAGCTGATCATATGAAAGATATTCTAATATTGGAAACTATCGAAGATATCGATAAGGATGGGGACAGCAAAATATCTCTTTCAGAATACATAGGTATATATTTTGCTTTTTTTTTAATTTTGTGTATACCAGTAACTCCTAAAAGTTTTCTGTAAAAAAATAATTCTTTTTAATTTAATTATTTATAGTGAGTAAAGAAATTATTATTACAGGTGAAATGTATGACGGTACAGATGCTAAAGAGGAACCAGAATGGGTGAAAAATGAAAAGGAACATTTTTCTATGTATCGTGATAAAGATGGCGATGGTTTCTTAGATTTTGAAGAGGTAAATCATTTTACATCAGAGAAAAACATTTGTACATTATACTAGAAAGTTAACTAAACTTTTAATCCCTGCTCAGGTTAAAGCCTGGATTAATCCAGCAGATTTTGACCATGCAGAGGTTGAATCTCGACATTTAATATATGAAGCTGATACAGATGCAGATCAAAAACTTACTAAAGAAGAAATATTAGAAAAGTACGATGTTTTTGTCGGCTCTCAAGCAACTGACTTTGGAGCAGCATTAGCCAGACATGATGAATTTTAACAAAAAGATAACAGAGATATCTCAAATAACATTTTTGTGAACAAAATAAAAGATACTTTTAGTACATATAAAAAATGTATAAAGCATTTACAAAAAATATTTATCTTTATTAGTAGGCTAAGAATTTTTTTATAATGCCTGACTTCAACTTACCTCGTAACATTACTTCTAAAAATACTTACACCTTTTAATAATGTAAATATATATTACTCATTTTAATAAATCACAATTATTTTAAATATATTTTGTTTCTTATTGAACCACAGAAAACATGGTTTTTCAAGTTGCACATTGTTGGAAATAAACTTGTCTAATACTATAGTACAAGTATTTTATCAGATAAGTGGCACATCACTATGATGATTATTTTTATCAGATAACTCATATATCTAGAATGATTTGATTAGTACAGAATATGACAGCATTGGAAAGTGAGGACTAAATGTCAAAATGAAAAAGATAAACTTAAATATTCTTGTAATATTGTATATTACATCTGTAGTGCTAGGTAAGTATGCTAAAATTGTTTGAATTCTGTAGAATTGTCAAAATATTATCAAAAATTTATCTGTGATACACTTTACAGCTGATGATGCACCACGCTGCTTTCAATTTACATGGATAGTACCAACAGATGACAATAAACCTGATAAATTTAATTGTTCTATATCTAAGAATGCTCCTTGTGTTGCGCCTGTATTCAGAACAGGTAAAATTATGTAGATTTATCATACGAATACTTTTTATATTGACATAACTTTGTCATCATCAGAATTAATATTCAATTTAAGCATTAAAAAATTATACATTACTTAATAAAATTGTATTAATAAGTAAAGAAAATATTTAAAATTTTAAAAACTTTAGATAAATTACCAACTATACCTGAACTGTTAGAGCAGCAGGAAAATACAACTTGTCTTTTGACAACTGGCAGTGTTTGTGTGAAATACACTTTTATGTTCAATAATGACAGTAAGTATAATAAACTAAAATAAAAAAGAAAGAAGTCATTTCTAAGAGAATAAATTTAATTGTAGTAGTGAATATATCATCGTTTTGTGGTAAGATAGTAGAAGACCATGTATCAGCTATCACATCAGGATGTTATCAACAACAAGTAAGTAAATTTTTAATAAATAAAAGGACTTTATATAATATAATACATATGAAACAGATATATTGATTAGAAAATTTATTGCTAAATAATGAATATAATTAAATATTATATAAATTAAATTAAATACATTTGACAATTGTATTAAATTTAATCTATACCATTTATATCTTTTAACAGCTAGATGGTCATACAATTGAAGTTTGTGCTTGCAAAACTAAAAGAGGAAAAGACATATGCAATGCATCAGTTAATATAACTTATTCTGGATTTCTATTATTAATAACTTTATTATTTACATCCATAAATATTAGTTATAAAGGTTCTCTAACAACATTTTGTAATATGTAGATTTTGATATAAGTTTAATTACAATAA